CCGCCTCCGCCGCCGCCGCCATCTGGCTCTTGATGGTCATGATCTGAGGAGCGTACTGCATCTGGTCGCTGCGCCCAGCCACCCGCGCCCCGCACCCGGGGCCCTTGAGCTGCTGCAGCTCGCGCAGCGCGGCGTCCACCTGCGGGGGCGGGGCGGGGCGCATGCCGGGGAGGGCCGTGAGGTGCCGGGCAGTCGGCCGCGCGGCCAGCCATTGCGCGGCACGGCGCCGGCAAAGCCTCACCTGCTCGCGCCGGCCCCGCACTTCCTGGGCCATGTCGAACCGCTCGTATGTGAGGGCGCGCTGCAGCTGGCTGTCCATTTCCAGCTGGAACAGGAAGAGGACCACCTGTGGGGGGCCGGCAAGGGTGGGGGAGGGAGCGGAGGGGGAGGGGAAGGAGGGCGCGAGAGTGCACGCGTGAGGCAGGCAGACAACGGGTGGCAACACAGGCCTGCGTGCCGGCGTGCCAGCTTCCCTGCTTCCCATGCCTGCCACGTGGTGGCATGGCATAGCTTCATGCACGATGTGCTGCCGCTGCTGATTCATGACTGGTGCATTGCATGCCAATGTCCCCCAGGCCCCTGCCCAGCACCCACCTCTTTGTTGATCAGCATGGAGCGCTCCGCGGTAAGTGTGGCGGTGGCTACGTCGTCAGACTGCACCGCACCGGGGCGATGCAGCCCGCGACGCTGTGCCTGCCGCGCCGCACGCCCTGCAGCAGCGCCGGGAGAGTGTGGTCGGTGGTGGGCGGGACCGCGCAGGGCGCAGTGGTGTGTGCGCACAAAGGGGCGTGCGGCGGGAGATGCGGCGGCCGCAGGGTGCGCCGGGTTGGAGGTTAGGGCCAACCGGCCCCCCGCACCACAAAGCTGCCTGCTTTACCTGTCCTGGCGCCACTGGAGTGCAGGGGCCGGCCTCCGAGACGGAGAGCTGCCGCGCCACGGCCTCCGGCGACACGGGGCACAAGCGGTTGTGCACGCAGCGGCTGCAGCATCACGGCTTGCATGGTGCCACGACGCCCGCTCGGGGGAGGCCCGGCGCTGCGGGGATGGAGCCTGGGGCTGGGGCTGCTGCACGTGTGGCGCACTGCTCGCGGCACTCTAGGACGCCGCCCACCTTGCTGCCGTGCAGTGGTCTGCTTCCAGCCCGACGTTTCCTGACCTCCCGGTTTGGCCAGCTCAGCCACATCTGGCTAGATGGCTGTGCCTTAATCGTCATCTCCAGGCAAGTTACAAGTTCCCAGGATTTGTTGGGAGGAGCGGGGCGGCGTGTGAGCGACCCATTCGCACACCTCCCCACACCCAGTTCTGCACCTGAGCCACCAGACCCCCTTGCAGCACCCTGCATTGCTCCATGGCTTCGGTGGTTGCACAGGCAGCGACCACAGGGGCCGCTGCGAGCCCCGCAGCTGGGTGCCGCCGCACCCGCGCCACCGCCGCCGCACCCTTCTGCTTCGCCGGCAGCCAGGCTGCCCGCCGCGGCTGCCAGCAGGCATGGCGGCGGCAGCTGCAGCCCGTGCGCGCCAGCAGCGAGGAGCAGCCTGAGCAGCAGCAGGCGCCGGAGCAGGGCAGGCTGGTGGCAGACGCCGGCGTGGGCGCCGGCGGCGAGCAGTACGTGCAGCTGGGCCCACGAGACGATGATGTGCTGCCAGACTCGCTGACAGACGCGCTGGAGGATTCCAGCAGAGCCACGGTGGAGGCGCTGGAGCGGGGCGTGGACCGCTGCGTGGTGCGGCCAGCGGGGAGCGCGTTCATGGGGTTTGCGTCGGGCACCTGGACCTCACCTCTTGAACTGCCTCCTTCTCCCTCTTGCCTCTCCACCTGCCTCCCCACCCCTCCCCTTGTGTGCGCCAGGTGGAGATCCTGCTGCCCGAGCTGTGGGACCCGCTCAGCGGCCCCGTGTATGCCGAGGAGGGCGACCAGCAGCGGTTCTGGAAGCTGACGCGGCGCTTCCTGGAGAACCTGGCGGTGCTGATGCCCGGCAAGCGCATCCGCGCGGTGAGGCCGACGGCCGGCCGCCGCCCGGGGCTGGCAGCCAGCAGGCTCCGCGCAAAGCAGGAGCCCTGCGGTCCCTTGCCTCCCATGCCCTCGTCACTCCCCTGTTCCTCCCCACACTCCTTCACAGACACGCACCACCACCACCACAACAACAACACACACACGCGCGCCGCCGCTGCCGCTGCCGCAGGTCTACCCCGACGTGGGCGTGTCTGCCATGCTGAAGAACCAGTGGACCGACGCCACCTTTGCCTTCGCCTCGCTCAACGACCGGCGGCCGGTGGCGGCGGAGGACGACGTGGTGGTGCTGGCGGCGCCAGACCCGCAGGGCGCCGACGACGCCATCCGCATCTCACAGGGTGGGCGGGCGGGCGGCTGGGCTGGATGTTTCTGGCAGGCGGGGAAGTGGGTCGCTGGTGTGGGCGGCTGGGAGGGAGCTGGGGGCGGAGGGGAGGCAGCCAGAGCAGGGGAGCTTCTGTGCCCAGCCTGTGGCACCGCTCCCCCGCTCCGCCGTCTTCTCCACTGGCATGCCTCACCCCTCCTGCCTGTCCCCCCCACCCCCACCCTCCCCGCAGGCCTGTCTGAGGGGCAAATCATGGTGATGTTCAACCCGCGGCTGGCCAGCGGCGACGTGGGCGTGGGCCTGTCCATCCGCCGCATGCGCGAGTCCTTCCTCTCCCGCTTCACCACCACCTACAGCCTGCGCCCCATCGCCGACGTCGGCTCCGTCTTCCGCCGCTACCCGGGCATGTGGCAGGTGTTTGTGCAGGACGCGCAGGTGCAGGGGCGGTACAAGCTGATCGCAGAGCGCCTGTCACGGCCAGGTGGGGAGCACCAGCCCTTGCACGCCGCCACGCACCGTGCGTCCCCTGTCCCGCGCCCTGCCGCCGGTCCACCCGCCTCTGAGGGCCGACCACCCAGGGCGCTGGTGGCGTGCAGGCGGCGAGGATCTGGACTACATCCTCATGTCGGAGTTTGGCGCGCCAGAGGGCGGCGAGGGCGGGCAGCAGGGCGGCGCCACCGGCTTTGTCAACCAGCTGGGCGTCACGATCAGCGGCCTGCAGCGCTTCATGCGCTCGCTGTCGCAGTGAGGGGCCGGCGGCGATGTGCCTGCTACCCAGGCTGGAGGGGCAGCCGTTACGCTGCGTGTGCGTTACGGTTTTTGTGTGCAAAAGCAAGAGAAGGAAGTACCGAGAATGTGTAGCATGCAAAAGAACATGTAAGCGCTGGTCACGGGTAGGGCGGAGGCATAAAAAAAGCAACGATCACGAGGGAGCATCAAGGGACAGTGGCATCACGCCAGCGACACCTGTTGGTCCTCCTCCACATACTCTATGGCCGCGCTGGCCTGCGGGTCCTGGCACAGCCACAGCAGCATCGAGCGCGACAGGTTGCCCACCAGCAGGGGCATGGTGTCCGTCAGCGGCGCCAGGGCCTGCGCGTCGCTGGGGTCCAGCTCCGGCGCCGCGCCGATGCGGTCCAGAAGCTCCTGCCGCTGCGGGAGGCTCTTGGCGCTGATGATGTAGCGCTCCTGGTCTGGCACGTCGCCCACAGGCACCAGCTCGCCGCCTGCATGCAGGAGGGCGGGGCTGGGCAGTGATGACAAGAGAAGCCAGCCACAGGCAACGGAAAGGGGGCGGCCCGCTCCCACTCCCACCGCTCCCGGCCCCCGCCGACTGCCCACGCGGTAGAGACCCCAGCGCGCGGTGCGAACCCGGCACGACACCATGCATGGCGCCAGCAGTTGTCACCTATGCGCACGGTAAAGGGGCAGTCGTCAATCTCCGATTCCGCGGCCGCAGCTCCAAAAAGTAGCAGCAAGCAGGCGATCAGCCTCATTCTGCCACTTTTGTGTGTTATTTAGTCGTGGGAATGGGCCGGTTTGGAGGCTATGGAGGCCTTCGGCCCCTCCTCCTCTGACCTGGCAGTTTCTACTGCAGGCTTGGCATGCAGTGCATAGACCGTCGAAGCTTCTTCATGCAGGCGTACTGTTCAGTTGCAAGTGTAGTGTCCCGGCCACTGCCAACTCCGACACCTTTGACCAACTCGCCGCATGGCGGGGGAGGAGACCTCCACGACCTCAGGGCAGGCGACGCTTGGTGTCGGGGGCCCTCTGGGTGGCGAGGCAGCGGCGCAGCAATCTCCCAGCGCAGCAATGGCGGCAGTGCAGACCCTGCGCCGCTCACCCGCCCCGCCAGCTCTCGCCCCTTCTGCCAGCTACGATGATGCCGACCTGGATGCAGCCGCGCTGAAGCTGGATGAACACTCGCGCCTGCTGCGCGCCGACATGCTGGCGCAACTCCTAGACTGCAAGCGGAAGCTTGGCGAGCGGCAGCAGGCGGCGGCAGCGGCGGCGGCTGCGCAGGGCGCATCACAGCTGGCCGCAAAGCAGCAGCAGGTGGATGCTGCCAGCGCTGAGCTGGCACGGCAGCGGGAGATCGTGCGGCGCACCGGCACCGTGCTGTTCAAGGCGGCGCGATGGCGGCGGCAGCTCTCTCTGGGCTGCAGATCATGGCGTGCCTGGCGGGCGTATGTGCGCAGGTGGGCAGGCAGCAGCAGGCGTTTGCACCATTTATTGTATCTGGCCTGCTGCGCGAAGGTGTTCTTGCAGTAAGGCAGGCAGCAGGCATGCAAAGCCGTCCTCCTGCCGGGCTGCCACATGCAGGCAGCGCAGTCTGAAGGCCAGGGTGCAGGCTGCCACCGAGCACTACGAAGTGGGGAGGCTGCGGCGGGCGGCGCTCCGGGCCTGGCGGGCTCTGGCGGCCGCTCAGTGGCGCCCCAGGGTGCGCCATGGCTCCTGTGCCCAGTGCTGGCCTGCCTCATGTTTCCAATTCCATCAGCGCTCCCCATTCACCCCCGTCTGCCGACTGCAAGCCGTGCAGGTTATGGCACAGGCCGCTTCAGCTGTGGAGGCGGAGCGGCAGCGCATCACACAGGAGGCGCAGCAGCTCGCCGCCCAGCATGCACAGGTCTGCTGCAGCTGCCGGATTCAATTGATAACCCCCGCCTGCCTGCATTCCCTGCTGAGCCACCCCTTGCCCGCCTTACCATCAACTGTTTGGCAGCGGCTGGCGGAGGTGGAGCAGCAGCTGGCGGCGGCGCTCGAGGCGCGAGCCGTGCTAGAGGCTGACACGAAGCGGGCGTTCATGCGGGGGGTCTGCGCCCTGAACTTGGAGGTGAGCCTGTGGGGGCCTCAAGTCACCCCACCACACACACGCTTGAACATGGAGAGTGCACAAGGTTACCTGCACAGGGCCGGCCGGCAGGTGGATCTCATGTGAAACTGCTTCTCAAGGGGGGGAAGCGAGGTTCTCGGTTGCTATGCCTGCAGGCAATGGCGCTGATGAAAGGCGGCCTGCCAGCGGGCGGAACAGAGCCAGCAGCCGGTGTGCGTGCAGACGGGCAGCAGCCAGGGGCAGCTGCGGACAGCCCAGGCGCTGTGCAGCAGGCGGCAAGCCTGCCAGGAACAGGAAGCGACAGAGGGAACGAACTCGACCCTCCTCTGGCACAGCGACACCAGCAGTTGGTTGCCAAGCAGCAGGGGGCTGCGCACCTTGAGCCAGGCTGGACCATCGGTGCAGGCCAGTGCGGCACGCACACAGGCCAAGCTGCAACAGCAGGGTGGATGCCTCTGGGTCTGCCACGGCCGCTGCTGAGCAGCGGCGCACCCGCCAGCACGCCTGTTTCGGCCCAGCACAATGAGCCGCCGCTGTGCGCCACCTCATGGGCTGGGCTGGCAGGTGATGGCACCCCTGCTGCTCCCAGCGCCAGGCCGTTGCTCAGGCCAGCAGCAGAGGTGGCCCAGCCGCTGGTCACCCTGGCTCCACGCCAGCCAGCCACAATCATGCCGCTGCCTGCCAGCGGCCAGCTCCCTGTTGTGCGGCACCCTCCCAGCAGCACGGCTGCCAACCAGGCGAGGTGCGCCACCGCGCTCCCCTGCAGCCTGCCCACCAACGTGCCTCCCCTTGTGGCCATCATGCTGGCTGGCCGAAAGGCGCAGCCACAGGTGCGGCCCGCGACAGCTCCCACCAGGCGCGTGCAGCCCAGCGCAGGTGCACCGGGCCAGCAGCAGCAGCAGCAGCAGCAGCAGCAGGTGTCGCAGCGCTCGGTGGCAGGCCAGCAGAGGGGCACGCCCGGGGCAGGGTCGAGCCGGCATGCGCTGGTGGTGCGGGGCGCAGTGGCGGCACCCGGAGGAGAGCCGGCGGCGGGAGGCAGGGGTGCAGCGAGCGGGAGCAGGGCAGGAGGTCGGTGGGGGTAGCAGCGAGTGACCACCACTACTACAGTTCTGCCTGCTGACTACTGTATGTACTGCTGGTTTGCCTGACTTCCCAGCCACACCCGAACGCTTGTAAATGGACCCTATCTGCCAGTGTTTCTGCTCACAAGATAGGGTGCAGTCGCGCCAAACAGCATGGTTGTAGCGAGAGAGACAAAACTTGAGGACACAAGTAGCAACGGAAGCAAGAATGGAGCAAGCAAGAGCGCAAAACTTGGTACCCACGGTGTGGTGGACAAGAAACAGCATGCAACTATCTGTGATGGGACAGGACGAGATGCGAGCCGCGGCTACCGGTCCCGCAGCAGCACCTGCACGCTGAGGCAGTACGGCGTGAAGCTGCACAGGCAGTACCGCAGCGCCGCCAGCAGCCCGGTGGCCGCCAGGCCCAGCAGCAGGCCTCCGCGGGCGCTGGGCGCCTTGAGGGCAGCGCCCGCGCTGAACAGGAAGGTGGCGGCGGTGCACAGGGCTCCTCCCGCCATCGCCTCTGCCGTGTCTGTGATGCCAAAGGGGTACAGCAGGGACTTGACGAGGGCGGCGGTGTGCGCCGACTCGTGCGCTCGCGCCGCCGTCAGCGCCGCCGCCACGGCCGCCACGGCCGCCAGGCCGCCGCCCAGGCAGGCGCCGAGCGTGGAGCTGCGGCGGGCGGGCAGCGTGCGGGCCAGGGCGCCGGCGCCGAGCCCCGGCCCCGCCAGCAGCAGCGCAGCGGCGGGCAGGATGGCCGCCGAGCGGTCCTCCCCCAGCAGCAGCAGGCTACAGGCCAGGTGCCAGCCCGTCGCCACGCAGCCGGCGGCCAGCGCGGCGAGCGCCGCGCCGCCCGCCGCCAGCTGCTGCGGCGGCAGCAGGCCGGCGGCGCGCAGGCCGCGCGGCGGCGCGGCGGCGCCGCCGTTGGGCGTGACGGCGCCGCTGCCATCCAGCGCGCTGCCCGGCCGCGTCAGGCCGCCGCTGCTGCCCAGGGCTGCTGCGTCTGCCGCCCCCGGCAGGCCGCCGCCGCGGTGGTAGGGCGCCTGGTGTGCCAGGGAGCCGGCGCTGCCGCCAAAGCCGTTCATGCTGCCGGCGGCGCCCGACGCCGGTTCGGCGGGCGGGTGCGGCGGCTGCGCGGTACCGTTGTGTCGGAACAGCGGGTGCGCGGCGTGCACGCTGTGGTGCAGGTGGTGCTGCTGGTACAGGGTGGCATACTCCAGAGCCTCCAGGTCGCTGGGAGCCGCCCCAGGGGCGCCGCCGCCGCCCAACGAGGCGCCGCCCTTGGCCAGCAGCTTGCGGGCTGCGGCCGCCGCCGAGCTGCCCGCCCAGCTGAGCAGGTGGCGGTGCAGCAGCAGCGCCAGCGCGGCGCCCGCGGCCCCCGCTGCCGCGGTGTGCAGGCTGGGCACCTGCGGCCGCCAGATGAGCTGGTCCAGCAGGGCGCCGGCGCCGGCCGCCGCCGCCGCCGCCGCCGCCAGGCCCCAGGCCACGGGCGCGGGCACGGCGCTGCCGCCCAGCGCGCCGCCGCCCGCCGCCGCCGCCGCCGCGCCGGGCAGCAGCACCAGCAGCGGCGGGCCCATGCGCGCCGCCACGCGCGCCGCCGCCGCCGCGGAGCCGGCGCCGCCAAACCCTCCGTCTGCCTGCTCCATGGCCGCAAACAGCATGCGGAAGCCCTCCAGCCCCGCCGCCGACACCGTGGCAGCCGTGGCCACCTGCAGGAGGGCAGGAGGGGAGGAGGGGAGGAGAGGGGGCGTCCACTCAGCATCGGGATCCACTCAACCGAGCCAGGCGAGGGTGCGCAGGTGCACAGGCCCAGGCCAGGGCTAGCTGGCTGGCTGGCTGGCTGGCTGCTTCATATCTGATCATAAGGGGCAGGCGGCGCCAGCTGGCGGGGAGCCTTGCCTGCGCCGCGGGCGTGCGCTCCAGCGCGTCTGGCAGCAGCTCGGCAAACACCATCCACACCATGCACCCCGCCGCAAAGCCCAGCGCCACGGGCAGGATCATCTGCGGGCGGGCAGGCGGGCAGCCGCACAGGCAGGCGGGCGCGCAGGCAGCGGCGGTGAGGTGCTGCAGAGGCCGGCGGGCGCCGCCGCGGGCGGGGCGCGGGCGGGTCGCAGGCGGAGCCGCGTGGCCGCATGCGCCAGCCACCAGCCTCACATTCCAGCCTCAGAACCCAACCCAGCGCTCAGCCCTGCGCCTGCGCGCAGCAGGCCGCCACCCCGCCTGCCCACCGTGAACGCGTCGACAAACATGAAGGAGGGGATGGCGACCAGCGGCTGCGGCAGGCAGGTGGCCACCGACCAGGCCAGGGCGCGGCGCGCGCTCACGCCCTGCCCCACCAGCACCGTGGCCTTGGCCAGGCCCTCGGGTATGTTGTGCACGCCAATGGCAAGCGTGGTGAGCACGCCCTGCGGCAGGGCGGCGCGCGGCGCTGCGATCCAAGCTTCAATGTTCGTTGCGGAAGTAAAGAAAAACTCCTGCCCTCTATTCCAACTTGCGCGGGGCGGCAGGGTGGGCCGGTGCGGTATAGGATAGGATCCTGTGGACTGCCCCAGCAGCAAGCCATGCCAGGCTCGCCTGCAAAACCATCACCCCCCGGGGCTCCGTGCCGCCCCGCTGGCTGCTCCCGCTCTAAAGCCACCCCCCAACACGTCATGGGAAACACGCCCCGCCCCCCAGCCCACCTGCGCCCAGCCTCGCTCGCCGCAGAACGACACGCCCACGGCGCAGCCCTCCCCCAGCGCGTGCGCCGCCATGATGCCAACCATCAGCACCGTCTTGCGAGCTGCAGGGCGGCGGCACGGGCGAGCCGGCGGCGGCGTGACCAAAGCCGGCCGGGCAAAGCAGAACAGCCAGCAGGCAGGCCGGCAGCGGGCACGCGGGGTCCGCGCAAGGCCGGGCACGCAGGCCACAAGCAAGCGCGGCCGCCAGCGCGGGCCAGCCCCGCGGAAAGCTGCGAGCCAGCCAGCCTGCGCCGCGTCTCACCCGCCGACCCCTGCAGCGCCCCAAACTCAATGTCTTCGTACGCCGACAGCTGCTGCTGCACCCAGCGGATGAAGGCGCCGCCCAGCAGCACGCCCGCCACGGTGAGCGCGGGGCCGTAGGGCTGGCCTGCGGGGGCAGGCGGGAGGGGGCAGAGGGTGGGGAGGAGCCGGGGAAGGGTGGGCGGGGCGGCAGGTGGGAGGAAAGCAGACATGCCAGCGGCAGCCACACGCGCCATGAGGGACGGCAGCGCGGAGGAGGCCGGGAGCGCGCCACAAAGCAGGAGGCCAACAATGCCCTCCTGTGAACCCCAGCGCTTCCCCCTGCACCCCCACGGCTCCCACAGCACACACGCGCCTCCCACCCAGCCCCCACCCTCACCGTCGTGCACCAGGTCAAAGGAGGCGGCCAGCATGACGCCGCAGGCGACGGCGGTGGCGATCCCGGTGGCCCCCTCGCTCATCGACTTGACGAAGAAGAAGGGGAGGGCGCCCAGGCCGCCTGCCGCCGCCATGGACAGCGTCATGATGATGATGAGCGGCAGCGGGATGTGCTGGCGGACCCTAGGGGTGGCGGCGCCGCCGCCATGCGCCTGTGCCTGCGCCTGCGCCAGCGGCTGGCTGCCTCCCGCGGCGGCCGCCCTTCCGGCGGCCCTGTTGGCCCGCGCGGCCGCTCCGCGGGCCTGCGCCGCCACCGCCGCCGCGTGCGCCGCTTCCAGCTTGGCGACCAGCTCCGCCTGCTGCTCGCGGCGCTCTGCCGACTGCTGCCGCACCGCCGCCAGCCGCTTCTCCGTCTGCTCGGCAAAGACGTCCCCCGGGCGGGAGCCGCTGACCGCGGGCTGCTTGGCCACCGCCTGGCGCCGCCCGCGCAGCGAGCCGCGCCCCAGCGACGCCTGCTGCTTCGCCTCCTCCTGGCGCGCCGCCAGGCGCTGCCCCTGCGCCACCGCCTGCCGCCGCTGGGCCTCCAGCAGCTCGGCATGCGCCGCCTCGTGTGCAGCGCGCTCGACCTTGGCCGCCGCCGCCGCCCGCTCCGCCTCCCGCCGCTTTAGCAGGCGGTCCTGAGCCTCCTGCCGCCGCCGCACGGCATCCTCCTCAGCCACCTCCTGCTGCCGCCGCCGGTTGAGCGTGCCCTGGGCCGGCCGCGTGCTCTTGCCGGGCTCATGCACCGCCTGCTGCTGCTGCTGCTGCTGCTGCTGCTGCTGTTGCTGGCGCCCGCGCACGTCAGGCGCCTGCACGCCCTCCTGCTGCTGCTGCTGCTGCTGCTGCTGGCGCCCGCGCACGTCGGGCGCCTGCACGCCCTCCTGCTGCTGCTGCCGCCGCCGCCGCGCCTCGGGCGTCTGCTCCTTCTGCTGCTGCTGCCGCCGCCGCCGCTCGTCGGGCGTCTGCACCTGCTGCTGCTGCCGGCCCTGCGTGGTGGGCTGGGGCACGTCCCTCGCCGCCGCATCCTTCGCCGCCTCGTGTGCCTGCTGCCGCTCCTTCTGCTCCCGCTCCTGCCTCAGCTGGTCTCCCTTCTGCTTGTGGGCGGGCGGCGTGTAGGTCTGCATGATGGCATCCTCCACCCAGGTGTCCGCCACGCCACGCGGCTCACCCTGCGGCAGCGGTACGGCGGCGGTGGCGGCGGCGGCGGCGTGTCAGGCAAACATGCTGTGGGAGCTGGCATCCACCCTGAGCTCAACAGGCACGCAGAGCTGTGGGAGCATCAAGTGTGCGACATCAGGCAGACGGCAGCGGAGAGAGGAGCGGCACTGGCAGCGGCGAGGGGGCGGCGGGCAAAACAGCCGGGACGGCAACGGCGGCGGCTCAAAGCGGGGCCCAGTGCGCCTACGACGAGTCCTCACCTCGCTCAGGGATGACTGTGGGCTCCACAGCACCAAGAGTGCCAGCAGGAGGGCGCTGCAACGAAGAGCAACCATGGTGTCCAGGAGACCCTATATCGCCTTGGCTGCTAAGATACAGGATGCATACTGCTGAGCCAGCAAAGATAACTCGAGACCGAGGCAAGCAGGTGTGGGACCGCGGGAGAAGCGCGTGCCAGTTCGATCGCCTCGAGTCTGGCGTCGGGCACTTTTGCGAGCACACCGTGCGTTTGTCTAATACACATCCAAGGGGTCTGGGAGCCGCGTTTCTGACGCGCAGCCGTGATCGACAGGCTGGCGGCCCATGTGGCAATGGAAAACACGGTGGGGGGACGCCCCCGGGGCCCGCGTTCCCCGCCCCGTTCCCGGCGCCGCGCCGCGCCGACTCCCCTCCTGCGCGCACTCAGGGGCCTTTGGGCGGCGTTCCCCGAGCGCCCGGGCGCCCATCGCGCCGCGCCATCCCCCGCCCCCCCCCGCTGCAGCGTCCCCGCCTGCCCGCGCGACTTGTGCGCTTCGTTGATGGCGTGGGGGGCCTACTGGAACGGCCCGGGGGGCCTCTGTGCGCGCGGCAACCGTCCAGCCTGGCGCGCAACTGACACACCCTCCCGGCCGCAATCCTCCCCCCATTCGTCAAGCTCAGATGCGAATCATGACGCATGCGAAGAGATTTCAGGGCAGACTGGAGTAGGCGGCCAACCGCAGCTGCACCTTGGGCATTGACTTACCGAAAACGGAGCCATTAACGTTCGCCTGCAGCGACAAAAGCTAGAGAGGAACTCATGAAGCGTGTACCAAAGCGGGGAAATTGCAGCAGTGCAAGCCCTGAGCACCTTGATTGCCACCTGCCACCCACGTGCCAGGTAGGCCTCCCGATCACCGGTCCCCCCCTGGCGGGGGTCATGAATCCCCCACCCATCATGCATTTCAGGCTTCATCTCCCTCAAACCTCCACCATTTTCCCTCTCGTTTGTCGTGATCGACTCCGGGTAGCCCAAATGCCATTCTAGCGGGGCCTATGGGCCGCGACGAAGCGACCAACTCTGGTGGCAAAGGCAGCAGTCTCGGCGTGTCTGCCAAACGCCTGAAAGGCGGCACCAGCAAGTCCCAACACAAGCATGTTACAGCTCTACTGCAAAACTGGGACAGAGTCACCAAGGCGCATCCTGACCTGCGGGGCGTTCTGCTGTTACAGTCTGCATACTCCAACAGCAATGGATGGGCTAGAACGCACAATATTGCCGGCATGGGCCCACTGCTGAAGGCTCTCTTGATGGAGATAGTGGCATCCGCCGGCGGGCGGCGGGTGACGCCACGCATGGTTGCCGACATTTCGGAGGGGGCGACGGCGGAGAACTTGCAGTTCCTGTTGCGAGTTCTGGAGTTTCTGGCAGCTGCCGAAGTCGTGGGAGGGAAGCATGTTGAGATGATGATGAATGCTGTCACGGGCTGCAAGCTCGACGCCCCGTCAGGTGCGCCTGGTAGCGACGCTCAGGCAGCCAGTCTCTCCATGCCTTGGTCCTGCAGGCTCTGCTGCCTTGCCTGCCTGCCTGCCTGCCTGCCTGCCTGCCTGCCTGCCTGCCTGCTCTGCCTCCCTTCATCAGTTCCTCGGCTGCCTGCTGCAGGC